TGAGCTTCTGCTGCTGATTTTTATTTGGTCTGAGCGTGCTCAGCGTTTCATGCATTTCCACAAGTACAAATTGCCATATTCAACTTGTGTCTCTAGGTTTGCCAGTTTTGCTGGAATGCTAGTGTCCTTTCTATCACTGCATCTGTAGCCACTCTGGCTATCTAAACAGTTTTGAATCACTTTGCATTTCAGTCCTATTAGCCGAATCTGCCCAGGAGATGGCACTTCTGGTAGCATCATTTCCCTGGTGACTGAAGCTGACAGAACGAGAGCCTTGTTTACTGATTCCACTCTTTAATTGCAGTCTAATTTTGAGGGTCACTTGCAATGTAATTTTACAGTTTTAGTGTCCAGGTATACCCTAGGCAAAGAGGTGGTACAGCAGAGAAATTACGCTAAAGCTTTCCTGTTAGCCTAAGCCATGCTACGTAACGCCCCCCCATACACCATAATCTGCTCAGGTGGGACAGCAAGCTGGAGATCTCTGGAAGCAAGGGTTAATAGGAGGCTCTTCAGCTCTGCTTTAGAAGTCGGTCTAATTAAGTCATCTTGGCTGGGTTAGTATGCTCTGAACTCGACCTAGCAAGATTTTGATGTTTCCTGGCACAGGTTAATGGTATAACAACTCTTTTGGGATTAGGACTCGAAAGTTGGGTAGCAAGGGTAAGTCGGTTGATGTGAGCTACATTTTTTTTTTTTTTTTTAACAATCTCTCTTTCCTTTTGACTCTCTCTAATTAATCCACATCTTTTATTTTATTTTTTTTAAATGAGGACCAAAGTCTTACATACAGTCATCTTGATGAAGCATTAATAATCCAGAGTATATGGAAAAAGTTTACTTCATGATGTGCCCCTGTATGATATTTGCCTCTTTACTACTAGTGACAGCGACTGCTGTTCTGTTCATAATTTTTCAGTAACTCCTTCCATATTTCTTTCCCTGGCAGTACTATCCCCTCTGGCTGTTCTCCCCATCGGTGCTTCACTTTGCTGGGGAATGCTCTGTGGTAAGAGGGGAAGGGAAGCAGGCGCCGCTCCCATGGTCTGACGGGAATCCTGGGCTGAAGTTCTTTGTAGCAGAACACCAGACAGAGACTAAGAAATACTAATGAAGCTGAGCAGATCTAGTGCCTGTAGTTTCTCTGAGTGCTGTTTGCTGAGGTGATGCTGGGTGAGTGCGGTGAGTCAGTGACTCGTGTCAAGACAAGGGTGAGTTTCTGCTTTGCAGCATAAATGGCCTGGCTCCTTTTTGTCTGCTGGTGTATAGTGTAATTTGTCAGCACGTTGGCTGTAGAGGTAGAACTGCATTGCACACCAGGTGGGGGCTACATGGCGCCTTTCTCTCTGACCCTCGTGACCTACTGGACATAGTTGCCCTCAAGCCAGCAGCCGTGTAAAGGCTAGCTGATGGCACACGCAACTGTGGTCATCGTTCCCACAAGAAACGCTTGCAGTATCAGCTGGACAGCGTTGACAAACCTGACCTAGAGAAGAGAGCTCTGGTAAACTGCATCAGGAAGACCATCAGTAGTGCTGTTTCCAAGAAACTTGCTCGTGCTGCTGTTCAGTGTGTCTGTAGTTGATGGTCAGTATTAAAACTTGTAGTAGAAATACCAGAAATGAAAGTGGGATTCTGTGTTTAAAGTCCATACATTCTGTAAGTCAGCAACTCACCGTGGCAAGAATCAGTAATTGGAATCAAATACAAAACTCCAGTAAGTAAGATAGACCAACTGCCTGGTATGGCAGTCTGGTTAGGTCTCATCGGTGGAGACTGTCACATCCTTTTGGAGAGGATTTAAAGAAATCTACCTATAAAGAAAAAAGTTCCACTGTTACCTTACGCTCAATTCCTTGAACATCACTTTTGCTTCAGGTAGAGAATAAGATACTACTGATACCACAACTACTGTATGAAGTACTCAGTAAATGTTAGGGGTTTTTGGTACTTCTGGTATTAACAGCAGTATCTGTGGGTGACACGCCAGAACCATTGTCCTTTACAACCTGTGCTGACTGTATCAGTGTGCTGAATGTGGAGATTCCATCCTGGAGAAAGGTGGTTTTATGAATTTGGGCAGTATCATGGCTACTTTATAAGTTTTGTTTTAAGCCAGTATTGATACCTGGATTGTGATTTGGTGACAGAGATATGGGAATAGGAGGTAAAAGAAAATGAAGAGAGGTGAAACTTTTTCTATGTTTGAGGAAGCTTTTCCTCAAGTGCTTTAGAGCCATGGGAAGAAAAGGAGGTACCTATACCACTGAAACTCATTCTACAGAACATGTTCCAGCTCTGGGTAAAATGGTAGGAGCTGAAGTCCTGGAGAGTTTGTCATAACAGCAGAATGCTTCTGCAGAGCTGATCTTTCACTGTTCCCATCTCCCTGGACGTGCAGATGTCAGCGTTGAAGGGTAATCTTACATTGTTGTGGCAAAATAAAGTGCCTGCACTGATAGATAGAGCTGTGGCAGTGCATGTGCCTGACTTACAAGGAACAGAGGGGTGATGTGCTGAGTTTGTAGGAGTAGCCACAAGGAACAGCACCAGCTACAAAAGTCTGAGCTTTGGGACAGCTGCGTGCTGAGACTAGAATCCATATGGTGATTTGAGCATTAGTGTACATTGTTTAACTTTTTGCCTTAAAGGAGTGTTATTTGAGGGTATGAAACTACTGCTGGGATCAACTGTACTCTGATAACACCTTTATACCAAATGTAAAGTCAACTTCTATCACAAGAACGCTGTAAACAGAAATAAAGTAAGCTCACCGAAAGGAGGGGACTGATGTTGAAAGCTTAAGTGGAACATGAAGTTGCTTAAGCAGCAGAATATCAAGAACACTCCAAAAAGCCTTTTGACTTATGATGGTTGAGGGGAAGGAGAATGGTTCTTAAGTTTAATCAAATTGTAATGTTTTAGCAAATTGCAGTAAGGAAATGCTCTTCAAGTCTGCATCATCCTTTCTTTGCTCTTATTATGTGTACAGTTGGTTGTCTGTGATGGCTCTGTATGTAGGGAAACAAAAACTTGTTGGCCTTGGCAGCTGCTTGTAGCGTGTATTTCAAGGTCACAGCTCTGTTCCTGGAGACTTTCATTGTACCAGGGAATCTAAGAGATATATCTTGGTCAAGTGTTTTGCTGAACTCCAAATTTTGACTACTTAGTATAGCTGCTCAAATTTCTTAAGTCTGAATAGTCAAGCTTTACTGTCCATTTTGGGAGATGTTTAGATACAGCCCTTCAGAAAGAAGTCAGGGACTGCAACTGGAAGTGTGTTCAGGTAAATTTCTGCTGTCACAGAACTGTGCTGAAACAGGATTTCTCACGTAGGGCAGTCATTCAGTCAGGACTCCGCTGGAGCCAAATGCCATCACTAGTAGATTCTCCTACAGTTCTAAAAGACTTCAGTTTTTGGCAGTAGAAATGGGGAGTACCTTCTGAGGGTTATTTTCATAGTGATGCGTGCTTGGCCTTTTCTAGTTCCCAGAAATAAACTTGTTAAACAACTTATGACAGTAGTGCCACATCTCTGAGCTGTCCTGGTGCCTTAGGAGGTCTGAACGTGAGTAGTTAGCATACTGCTGCACACGCTTATTTAATTGGCACCATCCACAACAACGTGCTGACACTTGAAGTACTCTTCCTCTGTAAATCTACAGCTAGAATTTTTAAGTCCTCCTTATCCTGCTAAATTGGTCAGAGCCCAAAATGCCCAGTTCATCCGGCCCTTTGCATGTTAATGACGCTGACCTGTGCACCTCTGAGAGAATGTACTGGCAACCGCAGGAACCAGACAATGCCAAGTTGGGTATTAACTTGAAGTAACACACTGAAACAAACCTATTTGCTTCTCACTGTCTGCAGTGGTTTTCACTTGCTGAGTGAAAGCATGAGCTGATTCACCAGAAGCCCTTAACCAGCATTACACAACTCTGCCTATTCAAACCTTTCGCTTAGGAAGAAGCTGAGAAAAAGCACCAAATCATCAGATCAAAACATTTGGAAAACAGGGATTATTTTTTTTGCACGTACACTGTGGGAAACTTGAGTTTTGCCCTGGGATAATTGTGGAAACTAGGTAGGCAAAGCATATGCCACAGGTGTGACTGCTGCCTGTTGTAAAAGACCTAAAAAGCTGAGAAATGGAGTTCTTTGGTGTGCAGTAACCAGTATAACACCACTGGTACAGTTAAATCTTTAGCACTGTGTCATTCCAGATGAGTCAGTAAGTTATTTTAAAAGCAGGCTTCTTCTCATTTTTATGAGAGTAAACTTCAGTGATGCTAAGATTTAGTTCTAGAAAATTGTATCCTCACCTATACAGAAAAACTTGACCCCAAGAAGGGTAAGCAGGGAATAAAGTTTGGTACTTGTTTACAGTCTCTGTCCTGAATGTGTGACCTGTTATTCCCGTGTAGTTACTTGGCAAGGCTGGTTGGTCTGGGACGCAGGAATACGGGGGGAGAGCTGTGACTTTTGGACTCTGTAGGGCCCAGCGATGGCTGTAGGGGCACAGGCTCTCACGTGGAAGCTCTCCGCAGGGAGAGTGCTGTGACTCGTTCCCACTGTACAGGTGTGACACGCTGTGTTCTTCGGTGCAGTTGCGTTACCAATAGCTGGAGTTGCATGCCTGCTCAGAGCTGTGGTGGTTTGTTCCAAGTACCAGTCCTGGATTGCAGGGACAGAGAGGTGGTTGCTCCCTGGAACTAAACAGCTACTTTGAATTAAACCTTTTAGGCTTCTTATCTACAGTCTGGTCACCTGCAAATTTCCCTTTTTTAAGTGGTATAATTCAAAACCTTCCCCAGCAAGCTATGAAAATAAAAGCCTTTTAATGGAAAACAAACCAACCAACCAACCACCACCCAGAACTCTGTGAGCCTTATCTTGCTATATAAAATGGTGTGTTTTTTTAGTGACTGCCAGATGACAAAGTGGTAACTTTGGGGCAAACGTGGTGGGTGTCCTTGACTGTCTGTTTTGCCTTTTTACAGGGTTGGCGTGTTGGAGGACACCTTCACCTGTCTCGGTGTTTTGTGTGCCATTGTATTCTTTCCAATTGGGATTCTGTTCTGTCTTGCACTGAGGCAGAGAAGATGCCCTAATTGTGGGGCAGCTTTTGGCTAAGGGAGTGAACATGGACGTGCTTACGGAAGCTACAACTGTTAGCATACTCTTTCTAATGTAAATGTCATGTACAATCATTTTATTTGCTTCAGACCTGTTTTGTAAAGTGTGAAGGAATTTAGTCTCTTGCATGTAATTTAAACTTAATCTTTTATGAGCATGTGCATTGCAAAACATGAAAACCCCACTTGTTTTCCATGTTTAGTGGCACCTGTTGACAACTAAATAAAACTGCTTTTCCTTTTGCAATCCTCAACTTGTGGCTGGATTATTAAAGTATGTGACTAATGTGTCTGATAACACGCAGTCTGAGAAGTGGCGTTAGTAATCCTAGCTACAAAGAAGGATAAATATTTGCCAGAATCCTTATGATAAAAAACCCCACGTGGTTTAGGGCTGTATTGTTTAAGCACGTTAGATGCTTCTGAGGAAGGTGTTGCACATGCTGTGTGCTACCCACCACGCTAACGGCCCCTCACTGTCTTCTATTTTAGTTAGTGAAGGTTTAAGCTTATAGGGACACAGGGGACCTCCAAGGGCTGCAGTCGCACTGTCCTGTCCGCTATGGCAGACGCTTCCTCCTGCTGTGGAACCGGTGGTAGGTCACCAACAACGGTACTTTCCGACTGCAGTGGGTGCCCTCCTCTAGGAAGAGGGGCTGTGGTACTGCCAAGTACGAGCTGCCCTGAGCAAAGATTTTTGCATTTGAGATTATTTAATTCTGATACTGAATTATTGAAAGCTTACGGATTCTAGGTTGACTTGCCTCTCCTGTGCTTTAGAAAAGGGGCTCAGGTGTGGGTTCCACTTCTGAAAAGCTGGTGTTCCAAAATGGGATAGGGGATATTTACGCAGGGTTCCATAGCAAATGACACATCCGTGGCCTTGAACTTGATGAGAAGTAGAATGAGCGGATTCTACCTCTGCAGCCATCACATGGTCATATACTATTTTTTGCTATTAAGTAACTGAAAGGCATTTCACATGACTTGAATTCACTGTTGAGAGTAGTAGAAGGCGGCACACCACAATGAATATCCATGGGGTACTGGAGGAAGCACGTACGTATGTAGGGTAGTTTAGAGTGAGGATCAATCGCAGCCGTCACAACACAGACTTCGTAGGGCAGGAGGGAAATACCACCTGAACAGTACGGCGATAGAGCACCCAGTGCTGGTGCAGGCTGGTTTCTGAGATGATTATTACTGTAGGGGAAGTCTTTCAGACAAGCTAGCGCTGTTGGATATAGGAAAATCTGAGCCTGAGATAACAAATTGTACAACCAAGCTTGTGACAAGTTAAAGGATGAGATGCTGCACTGTGCCGGCGTTTAGCCCAGTGCTAGGCTCCTTAACCCAAAATTTTCAAACGTAATCTGTTTTTCTTGTTTGGAAGGCTGCAGTAATGGAGTAACTTCAAAGGCAGCTTTTTATATTAGCATTTGAGAAAAAAATAATGGCACTGTTTTATTATGACTTCTTATAAGACTTAAGTTTGACAATGTGTTTTAAAGAAAAAAATATTTAAGAATGTGTTGACAGTACAACATTAGACTTAAAAAAGCTTTCTGTTAACACTTGAAAATTTTTATCCGACCATAAAGCAAAGCATTACAAATGGTCTATTCTTAAAGGATAAATATTTATTTATAACCTAGGGTGTCTTTCTTAAACAAAATAATGTATAATCACTTTATACAGGTAATTCTCTATTCTAGAATAAGGCAGTTGTTACATTGTCCTGTTCAGAAAAAAAAAAATCTTTTTTCTTATTAAATAAGTGGCATATGCAGGTTTATATTCTAGAACTTACCATTGCAGTTTCCAAATAACGAATGCCAAAGATTGAGATTTGCGAGCTATTAGTTACATTGGTTTACTAGAGTATCCAAACTAGCTCCAGTATTTTCACAATTCCTACTACAAAAAAAGGCATACTGTAAAATCAAGCTAAAGTGCTCAAACATTAGCCCAAAGCAATTAACTCATTAGAAAGTATAGGTTTAAAAAAATCAGAATCCATTCCAGTATGATTCTATTGTACAGTAATTAAATTTAAATACATTTTTAGAATTAGTTTAGATAGTAATTGTCATTACTGAAAATGGTGTTTATAAGGAGGAAGTATATGTGTCTGGACCGTATATTCATCGAATAATTGGTGCTGATCTGTCGTTGGTTACTGTTGGTCTGAGTTTCACAGTTGCAAAAGGATTTTCTCCACTGAAAAGAAATGCACAGTTACTAGGCGGCTTGCTGCAATACACACCCAAATTACAGTTTTAGACTAAAGGATTCTGTGCAACTCTTAATTTAACTGGAGTTTTTAAAACAAGCTTCTATCTGAAGACTCACTTTGCAGTCATCCAAAATTAGGGAAGTTAATGCCCAGTTAGATATGGATAATTTCTTTTAAATGGCTCCCAGTCTTCAAATATGTCTGTTTTTAACCCTTAAAGACATAGTTTAAGTCCTGCTCTCTGTCAAACTCCTGGAGAAACACTTATTTTTCTGAGAAGGGCCTGTGTGTTGTATTTTACTTGAGATACGTGCAACCAATTGTAGCCATGTTTTACCAATGCCTAGGAAAAGTCACAGCCTAATGAAAGAAAAACATCCTTACTTCCCCTCACAATCAACAGAATAATATAAGCCAGTACAAAAATCAACGCAACTAAATTAGTATAACAGCTTTAAAAAATATACCTTAGAAATGGTGGTTTTATAATGCCGTTCATATCAGGTTTCTGTAAAAGAACATATTTACATAGATTTACAAAAACGAGCTGGAGGTGATGTTGGTACCCTGCTACGGAAAGCAGCCCCGCTCATTCAAGCAGGCCAAAATATTTAGCCATTTAAATAATTATTGTGAAGTTCAATTGAACTATGGAGAGGTAGTTGTGGAGCGGAAAATTATCTCAGAACATCAAAATTAGTTAAAAAATGGTGTTAGCATTATCTGGTGGGTTTTTTGTAGTGCCCAACACCCACCCCACGTTTAAGACTGGTGATCACCTGAGGTCGAGCTGGGCATGTTATAGGTTAAAATAGCAAACGAACGTCACTGCAGCACCATCAACCCCCAGGGAAAGGCCAGAACTACTCACAGCACAGCTGTCACCCCATACTGTTCCTGTGGCATAACTTACAAACTGCTGGTTCTCACAGCAAAACGCCAAAACTAGGCTTGGAGCAGAGCTTACGGAGCCACAGTCAGTGTAGCTTCATGTAACTGTAAAGTCAGGAAGTTTAAAACGGCAGCAGCCAGCGAAATTACATATTTAAGTATTAAAAGCCTGAAGTGAGGACAGATTTCTGATCTAGATGGTTTTTTAGCTATTGTTGAATTACAAAGTACAACTTCAGGTATCACCTGTGACTTGTGAGTAGTGGTGGTGAGTAAAAAAAGGGCAAGAAACCAGCTGCTGGCATGTACGTACATGATTTGCTTTGTTTGTACGGGAGCGATACAAAAGGCAGAATAGGTTTGCATATCTATTGCTAATATTTCATTATAATGAAGCTGTCATGTAAGTGTACAATCTGAAAAGCCTTGTTTCTATCGCGACAGTGGGCATGGACTGCCTTCACAGTGTATTTCATCCCTGCGAAGTTCGGCTAACCCTAAGGTGGCCGGGGCGCTCCGGCCCAGCGCGGCTGCAGTGTGTGGCACAGTATTACCCTTCGCAAGCCTGTTGGGCTACACGGAAGTCTGGGCAAACAGTTAGTTTAGACTTCCCCCCCTGCTTTTTTCTAGCTTTTGTTAATAATCATACTTAATGAATGACATCTTTCAAACTGCAAACTAATTGCATTGCTTCTGATAGGTGTCAGATAAAGTTCAAAGTGGAAGTCTGAATATACATTATTCATGTAGAAGCAGGAACATGCAGCAGCTCGACTTGCACTGACCACTCCGTCTGTATGGCCATTTTGGTTCCAGTACTTGCAGTTCCACTGCGGCAGAAGGGCTGCGAGCCTCTCCTCTTAGGCACAGCGCCTGCTGGATCCATAGCTCCTGGCTGCCCTGCTCACAGTGCCATGATGCAGGTGAAGAAATCTATTTATTCAGGGTTCTTAAGCACGTGCTTGACTTGTGATTCCAATGAAATTGCTCATGTAGATGTCATAAACAGACTTAGACCTTAGAATTAGGCTAATCAGCCCTTAAAATTAACTAGAATGCCTGCATTACATGCTACTTCTTACTGAAGACCAACCCTCAAAGCTCTATCAACTACTAAGTCTTTTTTAGTTAATACTGTTCTCCTTAGTACTGTCCTACATAACACCACATGAACAATTTAACTTGCAAGAACCATTCCTCATCTTTTCTTCTGGAAATCCTGAGCTATTTTTTCTGTGTATTCTGAAACAAAAATAAGATGCCTCAATGAGTCGTTTCTTGTTTCTGCTTAAAAGACACTGTAAGCATACTGTTTTATCTGTACGTAAATTCCATACGAGGCTACAAACCAGCCTGGTAAAATGTTGAGCTCATTTCTAAAGCCTTATGGTGGTGTGAGGGCTGGTGACTGGCATGGAAGCGGGAAGGACAAGAACACCCTGCAACTTTCCAAAAGCATGGAAGTAAATAGTGACTTTGGAGCGAAACACTTGGGTGGAAGTGCAGTGACCCTCCTCTACAGGTAAGAAGAATCGTGGGGTCACAGTCAAAAGGTGGCTGCTATGAGTTATGGGGTACCTCAACAAGAGCAGTCATTATTTTATACTCCAGAATTCCTAATATAGTTTTTTTAATCTTGCTTTCACTACGGAAATTCAGAAACTGAAAAAAGATACATTTGTTGTCCCCTCTGAAGAGGCTATAGGCTTCCATTCTGGCCTCCAAGGAGAAAGCACTGTTCTAATTAGAATTCTGTCCTAGTCTGCAACTGAATGATCCGCCATTCCTCTTGGGTTTTCAGTTCAACAAGAACGTTAGTCCACAAGCCTCACGTTTATTCCTACCCCCCCTGAACTGATGCCACAGAACAA